CATGATCATATCTTCAATTCTCTAATTTTGGTGAATATTTTTGTCATTTTTGGTAAAAAGTGATATTTTCGACTTCTTGTTAAAAACGACAAGTCCAATTGCTTTGATATTACATATATAGATACTACATATGGACCACTCTCAAATTTGTTCATTTCATGATGATATCTTCAATTTTCTAATTTTGGCTTGAGAGAGGCTGCTTGTTTTAGTTATGTGATCTTCTATTAGAGATGCGCTTCTAAAATGCTATAGTAATTTGTTATATATAAATCTTAGAAGAATTACTGTAAAATCTGTATTAGAAGCCGCAGTTTCTATTAAAATGGTCAATGCAACAGAGGGGATGCGGTTTCTATTAGAACATCTGCACTAATAAGAAATTGTGATATTTTCGTTCTCAGTTGTTCCACAAAAAATGGGTGCGACTTTGATTAGGGATGCTGCTTCTATTACAGAGTTTACGGTAATCATTGGTGACTGGGGAAGTGTCTGAGACATTGTCAAAAATGCCAGAGGTTCACTAAAATGGACGCTAATAGGTTGGATTGAACTTTGGTATTCTAAGGCCAAAACTTTTAAAATTGCCAGACTAATTGAAATTGTGAAGAAATATCACCTGATCCATAAGGGCATCTGTCCAATCCCTCTCATAACCTCTGTGAATTTGAGACTAGTTTATTAGCAATATAATATTAAAAATATAAAAAAATATCTCGGCAATTGAGTTCCGATTATACAATGTAATGTCTTTGATGGAATATGGTTTTGAAAATAAAAGAAATGTAACTTAGATATACAACAACTTCAAAAATATAAGATATCAAACAGAATTGTGTATCGAATTATTTAATAAAACTCTCCAGTTACATTCTAAGTTGCTCAATTAGACACACATGGGCTAATCACAGTATGAGTTTTCAGTACTTAAAATTTCACCAAAACAAAGATTTGGCACTTTTGCTCTCTGTTGGAGATGGGCTGCTAATTAAACAAATAACATATCATCAACATCACTTTCCATTGCAAGTGATTGTTGATAACGTTAAAAACAAGGAAAACAAAAGATTTTGAACAATTATCAAATTATTTCCGAAGAGAATTAAAATTTGAACTCTTAATGGTACGATAAAAAATTATAAACTGTGTAGATGTTTAGCCACATGGTGATTCCTAAACGAGTCGGTGGGTTGGCCTTTAAAAAGCTTAAATTTAAGCAGGTATGACTTTCTGGCTGCATTGTGTCTGACTGTCTCTATTATGTTTGAAAACTCATCTATCATCGATGACATTGAAAGAAAAGCTTATACTAATTTTATAGAAGAAATTTTGACAAAGAAACTGGAAATGAAACAAATGTAGCGAGAAAAATGATTGATAATTAAATGGATGATTTATTTACAGGATCTTTGAATTTTGAATGAGATTAATTTTGTCAGGGGAGAGTTTTTTCGATTGGTATTATTTCTGCATGATTGGTGTGGCTGATTATGTTTGTCAGGTTGGGGCCTGTATATTAACTCATGTGGAACCGTTAGGTGTTAGGGATTCATTCATTTCTTTTGCCTAGGGAAAGTGATCAAATTAATTAATTAATACTTTCTAATTATTTACTGTGTTAAATTAATTAAACCTCACTAGTTACTATTATATTTTATGTCATCGAGATTACTAAATTTTTTTAAAAAATATTTATTTGATCATCTGCATAAAATAAATATTATGAAATATCATAAAAATATTTATGCTTTGCCAATGATATCATACGTTAATGAATGATTGAAATTATTCCCATGTATCTATGTATCTAATAAAGGCAATGAAACGGTTGAAATGTTGGTTATAAGAGAGCAAGGCTCCATTCGTTTGATTATTTTATTATTTCCATACAAATTACAAATACTCTGTTGTACTATGCATAAAATTCTTGTGCCACCAAAACAGAAGCATAAAACTAATGATTAAATAATAAAAATATTTATTGTTGTCTCTAAAATAAAGTATACTTCATTATGTACATCGTTTGTTGTTTTTAGATTACCTACCTTAAAAATTGAACAGTCTACCCCTAAAGATGAGATTGTACTATTTTATGAAATATGAGTGAGTAGTATCATATACTGCCCTCACCCTATGAATTTACAAGTACAACTCCAAATGAGTACGCACATAATTCATTCATTACATTAGGCTGCAAGTATCCAAATGACTTCAGTGTTAATGTCATTCTTGCTAGTTATAAATGAGTCCCCCCAAGCATACATGCCTGTATGTGTAACAAATTAATTTTCCCATACTTTTATTTCTGAATTTCATTTCATTCGATTGTTGAATTGTATTCATTTGATTGTGTTCACACTCCTAATTAAAAAAAAATTTTAAATTTCATAACGCTTTTTGAATTGTCAGAATTTCTATCAAATAATCTGCAGGCAAAATTGGAGTATTGCCTGCAGTGGTTATCTCATTAACATAAAATTAACATATTACAATATTATTAGCATGTCATTTGCATATCTATGAGCCAATCCCTGTAGCATACATGATAATAATATTGTAATGCAAGCAGCATGTTTTAATAAAGGCCATCTGTGGATGTGCTGTGCAGTATTTTGCAGTTTAACCTTCATGCCTGATGTCATGATTTGCTTTTATTGTTTCAGCACAAGGAGAAAAGGCTTATCAAACCGATAGCCGTGCGACCTATCACACCCAATGGAGCTCCCAGCAGTCGAGGCTCAGCTACTCCTGATAACATAGCTGATTTACCACGAGTTCCAGATGTTGTATCTGCCGCACAAACTCACCGGGACCATGTGTCAACGGGTACTAACCATTTTGCACCTGCTCGTCCGTACCCAATAAAATCTCAGTCCCTTCAGGATATTAAGTTCATGAACGGTGGGAAACGCTCCAGTATTTCATCTGTGCATCAGCTATGTGAGTTGAAACCGTCGCTGAAAAGAGCCCCAATATCGCAGTCCCTGAACCAACTCAACTTTAATTATTTATACAACTCGCACCAGAACGGTGGGCACAGACCACCTGATTATCTCCGAAACAATCGTACAAATCATTCAAGTTATAATTCAGATTATCGTCATCATCCACCCATGCAGGACTCGCGTAGACATAGCAACTCTAGTTTTACTTCTAGCCAAGCAATGGATTATCGATCAGTCAACCACTATGATGATTCGCTGTCCCATGCCTCATCACACCTGTCTTCGGGTGTCGTCATGGAGGAGGATGAAATGGAAACCATTTATGAGCTCAAACAAAAAATACAGGTAAGGATCAACAAATTATGAATTTATTATCAATAAAATATAAATATGAATACAAAAACAAAGTAACATTAATTGGGCAGCACTTAGTTTGGGTGCATATTACAAAAATAGCTTTGCGTTTCTAGAGGTCAGCTCAATTTATCCGCAAATATTCCTGATCTGAAATAGCTTAAATTATTCCTGCTATGAAAAGTTCAAACAGTTTGCCTTACAAATATTGTATACATTACACAAGCCTATCTGTTGTTCAGAGTTCACCACCAGGGTAATATTTGAACAAGCTGCGTAGCAGTTTGCGGCTTACAGATGTGTCTTCAATCACACTATTCATAGGTCAGCTTGACAACATTGTCAAATAAACTTTA